CAGAAATAGCCTCACAGACACACCTGGAAATAATGGATAGCCAAATACCTGGACACCGTGTCATCCTGTCGAATTGACACATAAAACTAACCATCAGGTATATTAATATCATTTATTATTGTTATGTATATATTTGAAATCATTTATAACATAAATATATTAATATATTAATACTAGTTCTTCTGTGAAGTTGTTATGTTGAGATTAAAGCTCCATGTAAATTTTAAGACACTTCATGAATACAAAACATTATTAAATAGGCTCCAGCCTATATGAAATGCATGTATTCTATCAGATTGGCACAGGAAAATTCACAGTTAGATGTTAAATAATGAAATGGGTCTAATATGTCTTGTCACAGAGGTATTTCTATTTTAAAAGTTGGTGTCAAGAAATACAGTGCCTTAGGAATTGATTTCTACTGATATAACAATAACCTCATAAGTAGTCATCCTATAGAGACAGCATAGAATAGTGTTCAGATGATGAACTCAGAGCCAAACTGCATGGGTTCAGATCCTTTTTCACTTGCTAGCTACGTGACATTGGGAAAGTCACTTAACCAGTTCATTGTAAATGAGTCATATATTGAAACAGCTTAGAATAGTGCCTGATGCATAATAAATGCCCATAAATAATTTGTTGAATGAAAATTGCTCTGTGGCAGAGTATCTTGGCACAACACCAAATGTGTAGTGACACTCAATGTAAATAAAGGTTTGCCGAGGGAAGAAATGATTGACTTTGAGATAGATACTTGAAGCTGGAGCAGGAGTTTTTAGAAATTACTACTAACCATGTTGGTCTTAAAAGTTGTATACTATTGCTGTTTATTAAGAGTTTATTCTCGGCCATGTTGGTCTTAAAAGTTGTATACTATTGCTGTTTATTAAGAGTTTATTCTCGGACGCCCTCTCTCACCACTCCTATTCAACATAGTGTTGGAAGTTCTGGCTAGGGCAATCAGGCAAGAGAAAGAAATCAAGGGGATTCAGTTAGGAAAAGAAGAAGTCAAATTGTCCCTGTTTGCAGATGACATGATTGTATATTTAGAAAACCCCATTGTTTCAGCCCAAAATCTCCTTAAGCTGATAAGCAACTTCAGCAAAGTCTCAGGATACAAAATTAATGTGCAAAAATCACAAGCATTCTTATACACCAGTAACAGACAAACAGAGAGCCAAATCAGGAATGAACTTCCATTCACAATTGCTTCAAAGAGAATAAAATACCTAGGAATCCAACTTACAAGGGATGTAAAGGACCTCTTCAAGGAGAACTACAAACCACTGCTCAGTGAAATAAAAGAGGACACAAACAAATGGAAGAACATACCATGCTCATGGATAGGAAGAATCAATATCGTGAAAATGGCCATACTGCCCAAGGTAATTTATAGATTCAATGCCATCCCCATCAAGCTACCAATGAGTTTCTTCACAGAATTGGAAAAAACTGCTTTAAAGTTCATATGGAACCAAAAAAGAGCTGCATCTCCAAGACAATCCTAAGTCAAAAGAACAAAGCTGGAGGCATCACGCTACCTGACTTCAAACTATACTACAAGGCTACAGTAACCCAAACAGCATGGTACTGGTACCAAAACAGAGATATAGAACAATGGAACAGAACAGAGTCCTCAGAAACAATACCACACATCTACAGCCATCTGATCTTTGACAAACCTGAGAGAAACAAGAAATGGGGAAAGGATTCCCTATTTAATAAATGGTGCTGGGAAAATTGGCTAGCCATAAGTAGAAAGCTGAAACTGGATCCTTTCCTTACTCCTTATACGAAAATTAATTCAAGATGGATTAGAGACTTAAATGTTAGACCTAATACCATAAAAATCCTAGAGGAAAACCTAGGTAGTACCATTCAGGACATAGGCATGGGCAAAGACTTCATGTCTAAAACACCAAAAGCAATGGCAGCAAAAGCCAAAATTGACAAATGGGATCTCATTAAACTAAAGAGCTTCTGCACAGCAAAAGAAACTACCATCAGAGTGAACAGGCAACCTACAGAATGGGAGAACATTTTTGCAATCTACTCATCTGACAAAGGGCTAATATCTAGAACCTACAAAGAACTCAAACAAATTTACAAGAAAAAAACAAACAACCCCATCAAAAAGTGGGCAAAGGATATGAACAGACATTTCTCAAAAGAAGACATTCATACAGCCAACAGACACATGAAAAAATGCTCATCATCACTGGCCATCAGAGAAATGCAAATCAAAACCACAATGAGATACCATCTCACACCAGTTAGAATGGCGATCATTAAAAAGTCAGGAAACAACAGGTGCTGGAGAGGATGTGGAGAAATAGGAACACTTTTACACTGTTGGTGGGATTGTAAACTAGTTCAACCATTGTGGAAAACAGTATGGCGATTCCTCAAGGATCTAGAACTAGATGTACCATATGACCCAGCCATCCCGTTACTGGGTATATACCCAAAGGATTATAAATCATGCTGCTATAAAGACACATGCACACGTATGTTTATTGCAGCACTATTCACAATAGCAAAGACTTGGAATCAACCCAAATGTCCATCAGTGACAGACTGGATTAAGAAAATGTGGCACATATACACTATGGAATACTATGCTGCCATAAAAAAGGATGAGTTTGTGTCCTTTGTAGAGACATGGATGCAGCTGGAAACCATCATTCTTAGCAAACTATCACAAGAACAGAAAACCAAACACCGCATGTTCTCACTCGTAGGTGGGAACTGAACAATGAGATCACTTGGACTCGGGAAGGGGAACATCACACACCGGGGCCTATCATGGGGAGGGGGGAGGGGGGAGGGATTGCATTGGGAGTTATACCTGATGTAAATGACGAGTTGATGGGTGCAGCACACCAACATGGCACAAGTATACATATGTAACAAACCTGCACGTTATGCACATGTACCCTACAACTTAAAGTATTATAATAATAAATAAATTTAAAAAAAAAATAAAATAAAATAAAAATTAAAAAAAAAGAGTTTATTCTCTTAAATATATATTTTTCCTAAAATAAATATACTTATTCCAGAATGTTTAGTCCTATGTTGAAAAAAGAGAGCTTGTCACTATTTCCTTCTATGGATGGTTTGTATTTAAGAAAATATAATTATCTACATTTGATTGCAATAGTATATCTTTATTCTACTTTATTCAGCAAAACAAATAAGTAAAACTGTGTATGAAGCACTACTAAATTATTTAAATAGATTCTATTATATGTGGAAATTTTACAGCAAGTGATAATTCTTCTTACTCAAGATTTATAAATTGCAGCCTACTGTTCTGTAAGAAAATGTAAATAATGTATCCAATTTATTTAGGTGGAGTAACAGTTTTAGGGGAAATCACTTATAAAATATTTTAACTATTAACATGTATATAAACCAATACATATTTTATGTTCTTTCAATTATACACACATGTGCATACACACACACACACACACACACTTAGAAAGAAAAACTTCATATTGAGAAGAAAACCTTATTTGATCACTCTTAGCTCTTAGGCAGACCTAGGTTCACATAGTAGTTATATAGTCTCATTCTTTAGATAAGAGGAGGTTGTTTAGACTTTCTGCAGCTGTTTCCTTATCTGTAGAATCTGGTGAGAATCCTTTCTCACCAGGTGACTACGAAGCTTAAGGGAACCAACTGACTAGGCATGCAATTGTTCCAAGTACTAACTTCTTCTCTTCACCTCTCACTTGCTTCATTATTTGCTTTATTGTATTTGATGTCTCACAAAATATCTTTTATATCATGAAACAAAAATAGAGGATACTCCTTTTTAAATCTGATTACATCTTAGTTTAGTATTTTATGAAAAGTACCTAGAGTATTCTAAGAAGATTGGTCAATGTTATGGTCTCAAAGAGTATATAAAATAGTTTATTGTTATGCTGTACATGGCTGAATCAAGCTCCTTATCACACCGTATACTTGGATTTTCTTTATTTCCAGGTCACTCTTCCAAACTTACTCTGGAATAATCCTAGAGGGTCCCAAGATAAAATATTTGGAATAGGTGTAATCCCAAAATGAAAAGTGATCAAAGCCAGTTTATTTATTTTAAACAGCCCCATTAACAAGTAGATATACTTATGCATTGTATTCTGACAGCAGAGGCTCTAAGAAGGCTATCTATCAGCTGTTTACATGTGAAAATGAACTGTTAAACATTTTCAAGTTTTCAGATGTTTAATGGTTTTTACATGGAAATATGTGTCACTATTATTTAATTGTTCTTGCTTTAAATTTGTTTTGTCTTTGGAATAGTGTTAGAATCCAGAAACATTAAACTTAACAGAAGATTAGGAAGAAACCTGATTCCCATTTTCTAAACCAAAATTAGATGCCTTCTTAAGACTCATAGACAATGTATATATTTATTTCAAAGCATGTTAACTAACAACTAATAGTTAATAATATTTTGTATAGCTCTTGCTGGGGATGTTAATTAAACATCCCTCAGTTACCATACCTGTTTAAAGAATACAAATAAAGTTAGTATAATATTGATATGATATAATACAATATTATATAAAGTGTAATACTAACATGAATACTGACAAAGCTCTGAGGTCATATTAAGTTCTAAGAATATGTGACACAATGATTCTCTTGCAAAATCAATTACACATTGCTTTTTTATTTGGAATATGCATATTGAGAGGAAACAGTAATTGCTCTTGAACAGCTAAGTTCAATACAACTTTCTGCAGTGATGGAAATGTTCCATGCAGCTAACGGGCACTTGCAATGTAACTAGTGTGACGTGACCAAGGAAATGAAATTTTAATTTAATTTGAATTAATTTTGATTTAAACTAAAATCACAACAGCTCTAGAGTTATCAACTCATAAACAAGGTTTCTGAGAAACAGTTGAAATTAAAGATGAGACATAAAATTTATAAGCTTGTGCAGTGAATTTAAAAGCAGTTATTTCACCTTCTCTTTTCAGTCTCCTGCACATAGTTACTCCAGCTATGACTCTGGCAAAAATGAGAGTGTGGACCGAGGAGCTGAGGACCTCTCACTAAACAGGGGAGATGAGGACGAAGATGACCACGAGGACCATGATGATTCCGAGAAAGTTAATGAGACAGACGGCGTTGAAGCCGAGCGACTGAAAGCTTTTAATGTGAGTCCTGCCACACTCCAAGTGTGGTTTAATTTTTACCACTTCACTTTCATGTTGTTGCTTGTTGGTAAATGTGGATATTTTAGAGACATGTTTGTTTAATTTACAGAAGGATTTAAAAAGTACATGAAACACTCTTTGCCAACCAGACACCAGAATTGCTGTGTTTTGTTTAGAATTTTAAAGCCAAATGTGAGCTGAAAACTGGAGTTGTGTTGTGTGAGTATGCATGTTTACCTAGTGGATGGAGGGGGCCTCAGCTTAGTCCTCGGAAGAGTACGCCCGTCATCTGTTATTTCTTTTGCTTTCCTAGCTTATCTAATTATGCATGACAAAAGAGTCAGTTGTTTGATTTCAGAGATTAGTCCACTGTGCAGTGTAGCAATGTAACAGTCGTATTCATCATTAATAGAGAATGTAATGGGGTGCTCAATTGTCACAGTCTACTGTTATTTCCTGATTTTTTCCTACACGATAGTCTATTCTTTTCTGTATGTTTGTCTGTCTGTCTGCCTTTCTCTCTCTTTTTCTCTCTCTATTTTTTAATCCAACCATTTAGAAAGTCTTTAAAGAGTGTTTGCTTAAAATTTCTGGCTTTCCATTGCAAAGTTCTCCAGTGCATAAACCAGAAAACAGTATTTTCCTATCGGTAATCAAGACAGGAAGCTAGGAACAGAAGAGAGCAGCCCTCCAAACCCTTCTCCTCTGTCTCCCTCTTGCCAACAGATGTTTGTCAGGCTGTTTGTAGATGAAAACTTGGACCGAATGGTCCCAATCTCTAAGCAGCCCAAAGAAAAGATCCAGGCTATCATTGACTCATGCAGGCGACAATTCCCTGAGTATCAAGAGCGTGCCAGAAAACGTATACGTACTTACCTCAAGTCCTGCAGGCGGATGAAAAGAAGTGGTTTTGAGATGGTGAGTTTTGAATTAAAACACAGCCCTAGACTCCATCAAAATCCCACATGTAAACCATGACACTATTTTTTTTCCATCTTAGTGTCTTTTTTTATTTTTTTTCCATAATGTCAGGTCAAAGGGGTTTTTGTTTGCTCGTTTGTTTTTTCCCCTTCTCCTTTTCATCTTCCTGAAGTATTTATTCCCTTTGTTTATTTAATGAGGAATATCTTGTGAGTCCAGTGCTCACAGAACCACGTGGTACCATGTCACAGAAAATGAAGGTGATATGAGTAAACACCAGTGAGAACCAGCATCTCATTCATATTTGTTTTCTTTCTGTCACTACTAAAGTGGGCATGAGGTTATTTAAGTTGTGAACTGAAGCACCAGTCACTACTTGAGATGGCATGTAAGAATGGCATTCTCTAAATCAAAAGAAAAGAGATGGATCCACCTAAGGAATACCGTTTTCATATCAATGGTTAACAAATTGCAGGCTTTGAAAGCAAAGAGCAGAGAATGAAAATGCTTAGGTGAAATATAAGGATTTGTTGTACTGGATATGTTTATTTGTGTGCTGGTGGATGGTACCAAGAGCTTTCATATTCAGGTAGACATTATAGACAGATGAGATTATGTTGACATTAGATTACTTGACAGGATAGAGATTAGAAATCAATGATTTTTAAACTTTATTCTATTTCACTTTGCTCTACTTGTTACATCTAGAAATAATGCACACATTTACAATGTATGCCTTTCCCATTTTCTTATTTCTTATGTATGTGAACAGTTTCAAAACCTTGTGAAATCATTTTTTTTCTCATCTTATCTGAGAAGGTGCCATAAAAGCCTAGGCTGTTAGTGTTTGTGATCTGTGAATCTAATTAGGTGTGATCGGGTAGAATTGGTGTACATAAGAGAGGTTTCAGAGTATGTCTGTACCAATTATCTCAAATCATAACATCTCCAGAGTTGGACATAAAAGGCCATTCTTTATGAAAAATAAATCTAATAAATCTAATGTTTGATCAGTAAATACTGTCTTCATTTTCATTAGATTTTAAAAACCCAGTGAGTTAAGTAAACATTAAATTAATAGGTAGATAAATATATCAAGTTGTTATTGAGTCTGTTGTGTGGTTTTGATGCTCAAATTCAGCAATTTCTCTGAAGAATATTTATTGTTCCAGAAGGTGTCCTGATCTTAAATTCACAGTGATAGAAAAGGCCATAAAAAGCACAGCTTTATGAACAAGGTAGGGTTGGCCCATACTGAGTATCATCTCCAATAAGTGACGTGATTTCTCTTTTTTGTTTCTTGAATTTGCATTATGAGACTCTTTCGCCAAGACGCATACATGTATTTCTGTAAAACTCAAATGACAATATTTAGGGAAGACATAGGAGACTTTTAGTGCTTTGCTCCTCTTGTATCCCAAGTTTTGCCACTGTACCAAGTTAAACCAAATAGCCTAGATATTTAAATTTAACAATCTCAATCTATCAAAAAATTACCTAGTTAATTGCCTTCAATATTATGCAACTGACTCTTTTCCCTCGTAGAAATAAATCTCATGCTAATTTTTGTATTGTCAAGGTCATTGTTTACTAGGCTGCTAAATGTCCATGACAGAAAACTTGATTTCAGAAGTTTCTTCTAGAATTTAATGCAATAATAATAATAATTATTATTATTATTTCTCCTGAGGAAATAGAATGCTTTCACCTGCTCTCAACACTGGGTCTATGAACCTTAATATATTCACTTTTGTGCCTTACTGCCAGGGAGTTCAGAGCCAAACTCTCTCCATTTTCTTTCTGTTTAATTTATCTTGGTGGAGACAGCTTTCCTTGGTGGATTTGATATTTTTTAATGAAAAAAGGAGATACACATTGAGAAACAAATAAATAATCTAATTATGAAAACACCAGAAAGCAAGCCTTTCATGTTTAGGAAATAATATGTATTTTTAGAGGATTTAACTTTTCGATCATTTGCTTCTATTTGTCTAACACAGCTCACAGGAGAGGTACCAGATGTTGTTTTCAATACATAGTTTCCCTGATATCATAAGTATTGGAATAGCTACAGTACACTTGCTATTAACTTTTTAACAAATAGAGATATTGTAAAAATGAATTAAGTGATTCTTTAAACTAAAAATTATATCAAAAATATACCTAGCGTTTCATGTAAGATCTTGATAAAAACTTTATAATACCTGTGTAGCTATTAATTCTTCATACCACATGAGTATAACTATGTGTCTGTCTCTCTTTGTCACCAATTAACTTAATTGATGCTAATTAGCAAACACATTTTGTTTGAATTTTCCACTTGCTCTTTGTACTAACTCTTGCCCTCTTTCTTATAGTTGTCATTTACCATCCCCCAGGTTACATTCACATTCTCTAAGATCTTTATTTATAATATCTATTTTTAATTGCATCCTATAATATCCTCCTTATTAATTTTGATATCTAAGTTGATTCACAGTTCTTTTACCTTTTCCACTTCAGGGATCTGGATCTCCCTTTCACCTCAGTCTTTATTAGCATGAATATACCTTGATCTTAGTAATCACTCCAAGAGCCTGAAAAAGCAATATTAAAAATTTCAAAACTTTCTAAATGTTCTCACTCACGTATTCTCTGGTGACTTTACAGAGGAAAACTCTTGTTCTTATTTGCCCTGGATAAATAAACCTTGCATCTCTGCCACCATATAATTCTGCCTTCTTCAGAACATTGCTCCATCAACCACCCCTACTCTTTTATATGTTCAGTTTTCCCTTTTCAATGAGAGGAACATTTAATCCCTTTCTCCAAAAAAAAAAAAAAAAAAAAAAAAAATAGTTCTCAGATACCAAAAAAAAGTTACATCTCTTATTCTTCTTCTACAATCTGAGTTCATCTTTCTTTGTCAGGTTTCTCAAAAGAGCATTTTATACTCGCAGATTATACCTATTACCACCAAATCCTGCAGTACTCCCTCACATTCAGATTATTCAGACTGTGGTTCTCACCACTGTGTAGTCAGCTCTACAGATCTCCAGAGTCTACATCTGTGGATTCAATCAACTGTTTGAAAAATATACGGCAAAAAATTAAGGGGATTGTGCCTGTATTGAACATGTATAGACATTTTTTACTTGTCATCATTCCTTTGACAATACAGTATAACAGCTATTTACATGTCATTCACATTGTATTAAGATTTATAAGTAAGCTAGACATAATTTAAAGTATATGGGACAGCGTGCCTGGGTAATAGGCAAATACTATGCCATTTTATGTAATGGACTTGAGCATCCTCAGAGGTGCTAGAGCCAGTCCTACAGAGATATCAAAGGATGACTCTACTCAATTAGTTCTTATAAAGATCACATGACCACCTTTGCGCAAAACTCAGAGATTGCATATTCAACTAAAGTATGCTCATTTTCTTGAAGCTTGCTGTTTCTCTTCCTCCTTATTTACTCTTACCTGCTTTTGGGCAGTTCCAACCGTTCTGTGTTCAGCCACATACTGTATATCACCCTAACCACAATTGCAAATGTCTGCCCTTGTGTACAGTATCCTGTTCTCAAAGCACAATACCCAAAATATACAAATCTTTGGTATTTCCTTCCAAATGTCAGCCAGACACTAGGGCAATAATTATATTACACTGAACTATTTATATTCTCCAGCACCTATCTTCTCCACTGATATTCCACCTCACTTATCAAGCCACCAGTAAATTCCTCTTGACTTGCCTACTGTTAATAGCACTATATTGTTATTTTTACCATTGCTCAAAAGTATAGGATGAGATTTGACTACTTTTGTGTCTTGTATCCTACCACTTAATGAATTCTGCTTATTCCTCCTTTACTCTGTTTCCCAAATAAATATTACAGTTTCTGCTTTTATGTGCTATTATTTTAGTTCTAGTCTTTCACACCTCATATCTATACTCTTGCATAATCCTTCTAACTCAACTCCCTACTTTCCTCTTACAATCTTCACACACACTATGCCTAGGCAGAGGCAGAAATAGGGTTTGCAAAACCTGAAGATTACATGACTTGAGATCTTTTTGAAAAGAAAAGTAGTACACAATTATGAGCAAAAAAATAGGTAGATAAAATGAATGTGTATTTGCAGTTTAAAATTATAATGCACAAAAAAATTTAGAAACCACTGAAATTTTGAAGATTAAAACACTTTTCTTCTAACATCTTGTTAGGCAATTTTCAGACATACTTACATATAAATGCTTCCGGATTTTAAAGTGGCTTTCCCTTCCTATCTAGAATGCTTACAACATCCAGGAACTCCAGCACTCAAGAGGCTCATCCAGTTGAGGCATCCTGTGCCTCACTTTATTGACTTTATGATAAATCTACCTTTGCCCCTAGGGCAGTCTTCCTCAATTTTGCCTTTGATAAGTGTGAAACTCTGTCATCTTAGAACAAATTTCGTATTTCTTTCTATAATGTTTTAGCATACGACCTTTTGAAACCGAGAGACCTAGCTTCAATTCCTTGCTTAGTTCAATTCCTGTACAAGCGTAGTGTTTCTGAGTCTCTTCTAAAGGATAGGGATACTGGGGTATTATATGTGATCATGTGTGTATATGTATAGCATATAATATGGTGCCTTTCTACCTATTCTTCTAGTATGTTCAGATTATTTCCTTTCATAGTTCATCATTTGAGACTGCTGCTCCTTCTTTCAATGGGTTGTCTCTTGGTTCACTAATTTTTTATGACTCAGGGATTATGGGTACCCTTTGCTCATTTTTTACTAAATGCATTAAAATTGAAGAATAATTGGGTTGTAAAGAATATAGCCAATGTATTTTTCAAAGCTACTTATCACTGCATCTATTGCTTTAAGCAAGATGTTGACCTGAGCCTAATGGGGTATGTTCTCTTCGCATACACACATGCCAACCAGCTTCCCACCACAAACATATACAAACCCTGAATAAAACATAACAATTTAAAAAATATTCAGTTAAGCTCAAA